GTCGAATGTCACACATCCCCGGAGCTGATTGGAGGCTTATTCAGATCTGTCCTAATTAAGAGCAGCTTGGTGCATTTCCTTTTGACCTATCAGGATGTGATTAACCTTTTTTTTAGGGTTAAGGAGAGATTGAGAATTTAACGTTTGCATTTTTATCCTTCACAAACACTTTATATTGTCAGCCAGATCATTTCTCTTTAGGCCCTTTTTAAAGCTTTTTTGCTGTCCTAACTTTAGTGATTACTGGGGGGAACTTGAACATTCTCCAATTCATTTTGTGTGATTATCATTGAGCAGCTTTTCACGAGGTTACATGCATCAGGGCAGATATTAAGGCCCTGACACACCAGGCCGAAATCGTCCGTTTTCGTTAGTCGGACGACGAAGCGTGCCCTGTCGCCCAAACTCAATTTGTTGTGTCCCGCACCGTCGGCCGTGACACACCTTATTTGGCCTTTCATGGCCGACGCACGGCCGATTCAACATGTTGAATCGGCCGTGCGTCGGCCACAGGCAGTCGGACAAATACATCACTCTGATTGGCTGTTCAGCTAGCGAAACAGTGCATGAGAAGCGAAACGGTTGCTTGAGAATGTCTTCCACAAGCAACACTCCAATGGCTGATAGTTCCAGTACCGCACGAAACATGTTTTCGATGGACGAGAGTGAAAATGGAACGCACACGCTATTTGTTTATATCAGCGCCATATAGAGAGAAGAGTTACGACAGCGGAGGACCAAAATGCTTGATCGTCACGTGGTTCAGGGAGACTCAATAGTTCCCGGAAGTTCGTGGTGGGACATTTGAATGCATGATTACCGGAGATAGAACTACGATTTTTGGTAATAAGTAGTGAATAAAGGTTTTGATTTGCAATATGTATACAACATATTGATGTGTAGGCTATGTAGTAACATCAGTATTTGAAAAAGTTACATTTGCTAATATTTGAGGATTAAGATAAAATAAGAAGTACTTTATTGATACCAATTTGGGAAATGTTTGCTTTGCAGCAGCAAAAGACAAGGCATTGTACATAAGACAGTTAAAAGACTAGAATTAAACAATCGAAAATGTAAATATCTCAAATAGAAATAAAATAGCAGAAAATATACATAGTGTGAACAGCTATCTTACCTGTTAACATATACATGTTAGGCTAACGTTGCCTTGGTTAACGAGCCTGTTGCTGTTGTTTATTGCTTTGAATTGTTTAAAACAAATAATGTTCTTAAACTTGAATGGTAGTCAGGAGCATCACTTCCTAATGTTTGATATATTTAGAGGGAGGGAAGGAAGGTTTCAAAATTCAGATTAGATTCATTTCTACAATTTCTTTAATTCATGGTGGTTTCAGTAATACCCTTGTAATTGAGGACATAAGTAATCTATTGAATTCCATTTATTTACTGTCAGTTGACAATCATTGACCTGTCGGTCTCCTGTCCTTTCTGAAAGTCATAAAGAAGACATTACTTATTTAAACATTGAATAGCATGCATGCAGTTTGTCTGTGCCTTTTCCTCCGTGTTGTCCTGGCATATCGTCTCCCCCATGGTTTGCTGTGCTGCCTGAGGATGCTCCAATCGCTCAGAGAAAGGAGTATGAATGTAAGGTTTCCCCACTGACACAGAGAGGAGGAAAGAATGGCTGGCAGGATTTAACTATCACAAAAGACAACAACAGCAACAACATATGTGAGCATAGCCGCGGGAAGTCATTTTGCTCAGGGGGTGCTGCCAAAAGTGGGGAGAGAGATACAAGCCGCATCAATTGTTTGTTAAAGGCGAGACACGGCAGGCAAAAACATCGTTTTTCATGCACTGGTCAATTTTGAGATGTTGGGCTATTTTGATTCCATAACATGTTTTCTTTCAGGCTTTTGGAAGGAAAACATACTAAATACACATTTAAGTGTTCATTTTACTATAGTTTGTCTATTTGCGTCTGTAGATTTCTCCTAAATTCACCAAAAGTTAGCATTCTAACGTAACATAAAGTACCGCGACCGCTGTTTGCACAATGTCATCGTTGGAAAAGCTCCGTCTCTCCTGCACAATCTCATCGGATCCAAATATGGTCATTTCCTTTGTATCAGCAACCAATCGTGAAAGTACAAAAGGGTCTTAAAACAAGAACCGAAATCTCATTGGCTGGTGTCAACTTCTGACAACGTGATTCGTTCAGATGCGTCACGTGATGTGCTAAAACACTTTCTGGTTAGCTTTCCGCTAGAAATGTAAATCTCAAAATGGCAAAAGAACGGGGAAAAAACGTTCACAGAGAAGACAACAACAATTGTCACTTGCACGAAGCAAGATTATACAAAAACCAAACTACCCCGAACATGAAACACCTTCACGGAGTGCGTCGAGGCGCAAGCTGTCATCCAAAGAACAGGAGGGTTTAGCTAGCGCCTCACTGCAATCTTTAAAGGTTGTTTTCTCAAAATGAGTTGTTTCTCCTACTCTGAGTTCGAAATGTCCACTTCAGTTGCACTTACATACACCAAACCTTCCAGTTATATTCCTATCAATATTATGAAGGCTTTTACAGAAGGGTTTGTTCATATATCATTCATAGCCTGAATTATATAAGATTACATGGCTAGAAACATGGCGAAAATTGATATTTTAGGGCTATTGACAGTATTTTCTGATTTATGGAGTGATACAAAGAGATATCCAAAATCCCTTCAGTAAAAGCCTTAGATGCTAATATGACTACAAAATGAAACAAGAATTTTGAACCTGGCTTTATCCAAAGTTCAGATTTCGGTTCCTGAAATGTATTAAAATATGCGCAAATTTAATGAGATAATGGATCATTTGCATATTCAGAAAACTTGTAATATAAGAAACAATTGCCTTATTGTAGGTAATTAACTGGATAAATTACCCTATTCACCTGGGGTGTCTCGCCTTAACTAGGCTTAATAAACCATTATAGACCTACATCACTTAGCAACAGCTGCACATGCCCACATGCTAACTATGGGTCTTACAAACCTACATAACATTACAAATAGTCAGAAAATATTATTTACAATATTAATAAAACTATGAATTCAATTTTAACTGATTGACAAGGCAAAACACTGCACGGCGGCAGCAGCATTAAAGGAAAAATATCGTCTTACCTTGTGTTGGGGCTTCACAAACTCCAAATGTAGCCTGGGGTGGCACTAATGAAGACCCTCATTAGAGCAGATACATCCACATTGTCCAAAATGTTACTATGGACATGCATTAAAGTCAGATGTGTCAGTCTCTTCTGTGTCATATTACTCTAGTTGTAGAGGTGGTGGGCTGAGGAGTAGCTGGTGGTCCACTCTTTTTATTGGGTTGTTTGTTGGAGAAAAAAATCCAAAATCCTTTTTTGCGCCATTCTAGAAAGTTGTCACTCTGCAGTGTGTGTGTGTCGCGTCAATTACGTCACTCTCCCAGGACCTACGACCTAGATGACTCGGATTTTATTTATTTGGAAAATAAATTCAAGCCACCTGATATATACAAATATATACTATGACTATTATATGCTACTGTATACAGCTAATTTTAAGTAAAATCATAACTATTTTATGTAGTTTAATCATTTTTATTTAGGTGGTCACTCAGTTTCTAAAATGTATACTACTCGCCAACAGGGGGTGCTGCAGCACCCCCAGCACCCCTACTTCCCGCGGCTATGTATGTGAGGTAATCATATTTTTCACAAAACGAAGACCACACCATTGGGAAGCTTAATGTCTGTTTAATGTCTGTTTAATTAACTCCAGTACAGGCGTACGGACCTCGGCGCAAGCGCCTCGGTCCTGCCGCAGTACTGTCGTACCAATAATGACGTTAAAGAACGGCCTCAAGTGTATGATTGCGATTCTATAACACAAACTATCATTGTAATCAACAATATCGTAAAATAATTTCATAATGTGGGCTAATTTGCTCCCAAACCTTCACTTTCTGCTTGAGTTAATCTCCGTCAGAAAGTAGTTCCTATAAAGTAGTTCCCTTGGTAACGAGAGCCGATCAATCGAACACTCCTGCTTCCCCGCTTACAGTTATTGATATAATTATAGTAAATAATATATTATTAACCAATTTATTGAAAACAATTTATTGACAACAATTCTTGAATTAGGCTATTTATTTATTTATTTACATATTTAACATTTTGGCTTCAGAATGAAGGTGGATGTTCATGCTGCCATTAAACGTGCAATTTTTTAAACAACTCATGAACTCCATGCCAGACTTTTTTGCAGTTGGTGCTGTGGTGTTCACGGAAGAGCTTTCCTCCAGTGGCCGTTTGGCGTGTCCCGGACCGGCAAAAAGCGCGTTGCTCCACATCTTTCTGTTGTCCAGAGATGGAGCCCAGTAGCTGCGAAGCGATGACTCATTTGTATGCCCGCTAACAGACATGATTTATCTGGCCTCCAATATGGAGTCAGATTTGGGTCAATATTCTCGCGCGTAAAACAAGCTACTCACGAGCGGAAAATGTGCTTTTACACGCGCATAAAATGACCCTCGCGCGCAGATTAAACCCCCGCGAGCGGCTCTGCGCTCGCTCGCGAGAGAGACAGCCCTCTTGCTTGCTCGCGGGAGTGTCAGCCTCGCGGAGTCTGTCTACGCGCGCGTGAAAAGTTTCTGGCACTTTGGGGCGGAGCCACTGGACTTTGATTGACAGCTGCCAGGAAACCCGGGGTTGCCAGGTTTGATAAATGCCTGAACTGCCAAGAGCCGAGCAGTGACGGCAGCAAAATCAGTTGGACGAGATTGAATGGTAAAGTTGTCCATAAAAAACTATTATATTCGTAAAGTGTACAGCTAATATATATATGATTCTGTTTTCTTCAAGGTTGTGTCTTCCTGGTCGAATGTACTTATTGTAAATCGCTTTGGATACAAGCGTCAGCTAAATGCAATGTAATGTAATGTAATATACATTAATTTGATATAAAACAATATATTTTTCAGTGGGCTGTGTCCGTCGAAAACTGCTAGCTACTGTCTGCTGTACGCATAGATATATATATAAACACTAGATGGCTCATGGGAGATTTTCCAGCGTAGCTCACCGGCCGCCATCTTGCTACAGTCAACAGCTACTCTGGTACGCGCTATGGTAGCTGTTGTAAGGTGAGTGATCTGCACACAAATACTCTTAAATCGCTGAAATCTTGACTGATTTACAAACGGTTTTGTTTATTATAAACGTTATTAGCATGGCTATGATACAGGATGCTTGGACATGTTGAAATTGCAGCTTTTCTTTGTGTATGTGGTTGTATTTATTAGCTGGCTAATAACAAGAGGCTGTGTGTGAGACCTAGTATTAAGAAGTTCACCCAGCAACTTTACACCAGTGGGAGAGGCATAACTGCTTTTTCTTTTCAACATAACTTAAGTTACACATGATTTCTTCCAAGTGGTTTGGCTTGTTAAAAACATCTTACATTTTTAGATACATTATGATACAGGAAATTGCTGGCTTTGTGTTTACAGAAGTACCTGACTATGCTTGACTTTTGTGCAGCCTATGGCTGCTCTAATCGCCGCAGTCTGCAAACAAGAACCCGTGGAATCACCTTTCACGTGTAAGATATGACAATATTATGACTATAATTAGGATAATCGTTAATTACTTAGTGGATGTATGTACATTACAAGTCCTGCTACACAGGATCAGTGGGGCTATGTGAGATAATAGTATTGCAAGATTGATGTTGACCCAGCCTCTTTACATTACATTACATTACATTGCATTTAGCTGACGCTTTTGTCCAAAGCGACTTACAATAAGTACATTCGACCAGGAAGACACAACCTTGAAGAAAACAGAATCATATAAGTATATCAGGTTTCATAGAGCCAAACATTTCAAGTGCTACTCAACTGGCTTTAGGTAATCCAGTCCTTTATTAGTATAAAAGTGCTTCGTTAATCGTTCTAACTTTAGAATATGTTGCTACCCAGGGGCGGCGGGTGCTGTAGGCTAGGGAAGGCTAAGCCTTCCCAAATATTTGTGTCACTGCATCCTGGTAAAATAAAAATATAATGTATAATGTGTGTGTCTTTGATATTAGCGCTGCTATGCAGCCACCTGTGCCCTGTACGAAGCCAGTTCAACAGACCCTGGATATGTTTGAGTTATCTTAACTAACCCTAACAAATGAGATTTCGCTAAGTGGTCCACGAAGCTGGTTATCAACTCGGTGAATCAAGCCAGGGTTTCTCTCTCCAGCTGAGAACGCGTTCACGCTACATTTGACCAATCACAAACAGGGACAAGTGTACTGAGAGCGCAGCGTCATACTTCATTAATGAAAAGTAAACTAATATTAGACAAATATGAACTTTAACCATCCATGACTTAAACATATAATCCAGGATACGAGCCACATAGTTGCACCTGCAAGGAGAATATAGAACAACTGGTTAAAAAATAAACTACCGAGTGTTTGAAAACAGTTTTATGCAGGGTTCGTACGGGTGCTTGAAATCCTTGAAAATGCTTGAAATTTGACGTGGTGTTTTCAAGGTTGGGAAAGTGCTTGAATTTTGGGAATGGTGCTTGAAATTGAGATAAAGTGCTTGAAAATGTAAATGCTTTACTTTTACAATAAATGGCTGTCTGACTGAATAGTTCGCTTTTTAGATTAAAAAAAAATAATTGCTTCGCTTCTACATAAAACAGCTCCGCTGCGGCTTCCCGCGCTATGCGCGCGACCTGCAAGTGTTTGTGTTACGTGTGACCTGGGCATTCTGATGAGTTATAGATGACTGTGTGCCAGGAGGTTGCAGTTTCAACGAGCGTTGGCTAGCAGAAGACAAATACAAGCCATGGCTAAGACGAGGGTCAAGCCCACGAGTAGCCTCCTGCAAAGTTTGCAAAAAATAACGATGCGAGAGTCTGCGCTGACGAGCCACATGAAAGGTACGCCGTAGTAGAGCATTTTAGATTAGGCTAACGTTGCATGTTACGTTTGTTTAAGCTAACGTTAGCGAGCTGAATAGCGAACTCGATTGAGAGATAATAATAATTGCAGGGGACAATCATTTCAGAGGAGCATAACCTATGTTATGTGCGTTACAGTCGCCATCCTGTGGTGTTCAGAGGATGAAGCACTCACAGCATTTCGTGTTATAGTCACGAAATATAATCTATTGATTCGACACAGAGCGATTTTGAAAGCAATGTATTTCTACTGGTAGTATGTTTCGTGCCTAAACCAAATGTGACTTGATCTATCGAAATCAGTCACATTGACCCGAAGACACATTTTCGTTTGTATTACTGATCTGGGGGAAGCTCGCGAGTGTGTGTGTGTGTGTGTTTGTGTTTGTCATTTTTGTGTACCGGGGAAACACCAAGCTGTACAAGAAACACCGGCTGTTGTTATGCTGTGATGCTTGCTTTGATGTTACATTAGTCCGTTCTCTGCTTGTAATTATGCCGTTACAAGCTTCAAAGTTGTATTTATCATCTGAATTTGACGAAACAAGTTTAATATTCTGAAAGCCAATACTTTGTTTATTTGAAAACAGATGAAAACAAACTGTCTTTTATATAAAATTGAAGTATTATACAAGTAAAACTACATTTTGCTTTATCCCATGTAATTGTAGAATGAACACAGTCTTCCTTTGAAGATGTATTTATCAGGTGTCTTGAGTAGTCAAAATTACCTACAAATCATTGTACACATTTGTAAATATTATTTTACACTTGTTACCATTGTGAGTCTGTTTTTATGCAGCTCTGCGTGATTTTGTGGCTACAATTCAGACTAATACGCTACCAGAGGTGGAATAAGTACTCAGACCATGTACTTGAGTAAAAGTACAAGTACTCAGATCTTGTAGTGAAATTATAAGTACTCAGATCTTGTACTTGAGTAAAAGTACTCAGATCTTGTACTTGAGTAAAAGTAGAAGTACTCAGATCTTGTACTTGAGTAAAAGTAGAAGTACTCAGATCTTGTACTTGTGTAAAAGGAGAAGTACCAGAGTGTAAGAATACTCTGTTACAGTAAAAGTCCTGCATTCAAAATGTTCCTCAAGTAAAAGTAGAAAAGTATTATCATCAAAATATAGTGAAAGTAGCAACAGTAAAAGTAGTCATTGTGCAGATTGGTCCATTTCATAATATATGATATGTTTTATAATGATTGATCATGAAAGTGTTCTCAAAGCTGGTAAAGGTGCAGCTAGTTTGAATGACTTTGCATACTGCAGGGTAGCTTGTGGATTTACTCCAGGTGGAACTATATTTCACATCATTCATCCACATCTGTAAAGTAACTAAAGGTATTAAATACATGTAGTGGAGTAAAAGTATACCATTTACCTCTGACTTATGTTCACTGCCAAGTACCTCAACAATAGTAATCAATAATGTATTGAAAAGTTATTTGGCTGATTGTTTTATATTGGCTCAGACAGGTTATATGGGAGGCCTAGTCTACGTACAGATCACTAATTTTGAAATATTAAACTTAGTTTTCTTTTCTTTAATTTTTCATCCTCATGTAGAATGCTATCACGAAACACACATTTGGTTGTTTATAGCATAACGAACATCTGATTTAATGTGAGGTAGGGAAATAATCATTTGAGTATGTGTATATACATGTGTAATTTACAACAGCTGTAAGATGCTTGAAAAGCTTGAAAATGCACCTTGAAAATGCTTGAAAAGTGCTTGAATTTGACTTTGGAAAAGGTGTAAGAACCCTGTTTATGATACTGCCCCATCTAAGACACGAGTGGATCTGACTTTAATTACATTTGAGTTGAGTGTTTCGTCAACTTAATGTGTTGCTTAAAATAATACGTCTGCATACAGTATATGTGACAATGTAAGTGTTGCACGGCCAGATACGGCTCGAGAAGCTGACTCAGATAAGGAAATATTGTGATATTATATGATCGATGATCTGATTGATGATGTGATATCAGTGTGATATGAATGATAAGTGCGACACGTCGACGTCTTCTCTGCATACGGCAGTTTAAACTGTATTTCCTTTATCCTGTAATATGACTTGATATATTTAAACTCCGCACACTGAGCTCTGATCGGTCAGCAGGCGGTGCTTTCACTGAGTTGATCTCTTTTCTATAAACGCCGGAGGCGGGCAGCGTCAGATAAAAAAAGAAGTTATTTAGCCTTCCCAAACCTGAGCCTCATGCGCCGCCTATGTTGCTACCATTTCTTTACACAATTATGTAATGTTTCTTTTGGACACCTTTTTTATTACTCTTAGTGTGGTTGTCTTATTCTTAAAGTATACATACATTACATACATACAATTACCCCAAAAATATGATAATTTCGGTGTGTATTTTTGTCCTTACCCTTAATGTTAAAGGAAAGAAGGGCGGACAATGTTGACAATAATTTATATATCTGGCTACCTTTCTCATGTTTTTAAGGTTTCCCAAAACCGGAGAGAGGAGGAGGCAGTGGGAACTCGCCCTAAGAAGGGACGGTTTTGTTTCCTCTGGCAGGACGCTGCTCTGCAGTGAGTACTTCAGGAGTGAGGACTTTGACAGGACGGGGCAGACTGTCCGGCTTAAAGATGGTGTTGTGCCAACAGTATTCAATTTCCCAGCTCATCTTCAAAGGGTATGTATCATTGGCCAACAAGAATTCAAGGTGTATAAGATTGATTGATAAATATGTGATTAAATGTCACACTTTAGTTTTTCTTTCTGCAAGTTTAGGAATAAATAATGTGTTGTGTATTACAGCACATTTTAAACACTCAAAATGTCTTTAATTATGTTTATTTTAGCCGGAAGCAACAAGAAGCACAACCACTTCAAGAAGAGCGGAAGATGAACCTCAGCCTAATGTTGTGAGTATTCTGAATGTGGCCAAGACCAGAGAGATGGTCATTGATTTCAGGAGGGTGAGGACGTCTCTTCTACCCCTGTGCATTCTGGGAGAGGATGTGGCTGTTGTGGAGGACTACAAATACCTGGGAGTGCACTTAGACAACGGACTGAACTGGAGGATCAACACTGATGCTGTGCACAAGAAGGGGATGAGCAGACTCTATTTTCTGAGGAAGCTGAGATACTTCCATGTGTGCAGTAAGATGCTGGAGATCTTCTACCGGTCTGTTGTGGCCAGTGCCCTCTTCTTTGCTCCGGTCTGCTGGGGGGGCAGCATCAGAGCCGGTGACACCAGCAGGATCAATAAACTAATTAGGAAAGCTGGGTCTGTCATCGGCATCAAGCTGGACCCCTTTGAAGCTGTGGTGGAGAGGAGGACACTGAACAGGCTGTTGTCCATCATGGATAACCCCACCCATCCTCTCCACCTGCAGCTGGACAGTCAACGGAGCTCCTTCTCCAACAGACTGCTGCAGCTCCGCAGTGCCATAACTCAACAAATCACCTCTGGCTGGAAGATAACTCTCTGCTCCATAGTTTCTCTTGAATATAACCACGTTGTACATTTTACACATATATAATCTATTTAATATTTAACATTAATATTCCATATGCCTTATATTTATGTATATCATATATATAATATCCTGCCAAACTCAACATGTATATTTTCCTCTTTCTTTATTTTCTTTATTTTTCTTGCTTATTTCTAATTCATTATAAAATGCTTTGTCCCTTATGCTGCTGTAACTAAAAATGTTATCCCAAATTGGGATCAATAAAGTACCATCTTATCTTGTTTTATTTGCATGTGGAATGTCACTAACAAATGAGAGCATCATATGGCTTGTCATATTAAATCCTTTATCTCGGTGGTACCCAGAAAGGTCTATGATGGTGTTACTAGGAGAGCCCAATATAATTTGAGGTGGTACTCTGTGTAAAAGGTTTGAGAACCACTGGCCATCTCACTTGCTCTATGTCATTCATACACTTGAATAAACATGTGCAAACATTGAAACTACACCCAGGGATTGGCAACCTTTACAATCAAAATAGCCATTTTTGTCCAGAGCCTTAAAACATATGTTTGCCTTATAAGGGGAAAAGACTATTAAGATCAATTTCTTAAAAGTACGCTGAGTTGTGTTTTCTGTTGGAGAATGTAAGAAAAATCAGGCTCACAGAATTGTTAAAAAAGTAACTTATTAATTTCCATATTACTATTATTTATATATTCGTATAATTGTGATAAATGAGACAGAACTGGCCTGTCTGTGAGCTCATTTTATGTTGGTTTGGTTCTTCTGATAAAGGTGTGAATATCTAAATAATATACCACCATATGCTATTGTCATTAGTTGTGTCCCTATTCTTCAAGCTAAGGCATTGCTAAATTAACAATTCTTGGCTTACAGAGTGGTAACATGAGACCGATTTTTATATATAAAATATAAATATATTTTAATTTTATAATTTATTTTAAATATTAACAATATAATAAAAATAAATGGAAATATATACACCGGCAAATATTTAATATAAATACCTTGTGTGTGTGTATAGCTATTGCCTTATCTGCTTAATGTTATTTTCATAAGAAAGTCCATGACTATAAGTATACAGTATCATAACTACATCTTTGATGTTTATAAAAAACCAAACCGTTTGAAAATTGGTTGAAAATTGAGCAAGCTATGGTTATTTAAATAGTAAACCATAATGTTATGAATGAGAGAACTGCCTGTAGCAAGATGGCGGCCAAGTGGCAACGTCGGTCTCCATTGGCCAGCAGCGCGGGTGAGTCATCTAGTGTTTATATATATATATCTATGGCTGTACGCACCTAGATTTTCCTGCCGTCACTGCTCGGCTCTTGGTAGTTCAGGCATTTATCAAACCTGGCAACCCCGGGTTTCCTGGCAGCTGTCAATCAAAGTCCAGTGGCTCCGCCCCAAAGTGCCAGAAACTTTTCACGCGCGCGTAGACAGACTCCGCAAGGCTGACACTCCCGCGAGCAAGCAAGAGGGCTGTCTCTCTCGCGAGCGAGCGCAGAGCCGCTCGCGGGCGCAGAGCCGCTCGCGGGGGTTTAATCTGCGCGCGAGGGTCATTTTATGCGCGTGTAAAAGCACATTTTCCGCTCGTGAGTATCTTGTTTTACGCGCTAGAATATTGACCCAAATCTGACTCCATACTCCAACCCTGCCTCCGCCAGCCGCTGTATGCAGGTGCTTCTGACGCAATGGTTTGTGTAACGCGTAGTGCCAGCCTCTTCACTAATGCGGGTCATCATGGACCCCAGGCTGTTCACCCCCAAGGGCTCCATGCTATACCACACCGCATCCCCAGGCTTCACCGACTTCCTTGGATGGTGGTAGAAAGCCTTTGCTGATTCGGGCAGTGTTGATAGGTAGGCCTCGAACGAAGCTACTGGGCAAAGGGCATTGCCCGGCTCCTCAAACATTGCCCCTCTCCTGTTCTGGCGCTCCCTGTCGTTGTGGCATTTGTGATTTTTAGTTTCCTCGTTAAATGCCATCGTCACATATTTGGTGCCTTAAGGATAATTAAAAAAAAAAAACGAATGTTAGGCAAGTTTGACCTTATGAAGCAACAACAAAGATAATAACAATGATGAAATAATAATAATAATAATAATAAGAACAATATAATAAGAACAATAATAATAATAATAGCCTGATAATAATAAAAGCTTGTAGGCTTAATGCGTGTTTGATCAACTCACCTGCAGAATCTCGTTTAACAACGAAAGATTGTGGAGTGAGTTTCCTCAGGCCCTCCTTTCCCCTTCTTCCGAAATGCAGTTGGATATCGAACCACACCTGTAATGTAATGTAGGAAATGTCTACTGTAAAAACAATTTCCTTGCGGATCAATAAAGTAGCTATTATTATGCTATTATTATTATTACCTTGTTGAGGAGGCCCCGTGGTGTGTTTGGGTCCATGGCCCGGGACTTCCTCAGGATTTCGAGGTCCTCGTTGGTGATAGCGGGATGGTGTTCAGTTTTGTCCTGCCCAGCCCTTCTGAGTGACTTGATGAGTCCGGAGAACACGTTATTTGAGGTGGTAAACTCATTGTCTTTCATCAAACACCATGCCCGGCTGTACGGAGGGTCATTAACGAAGCGGTTGATCCCAGCTCTCAAACTGACATAGGTACTAATAGCGTACTGCTGGCCCTTAGTGTTTCTAACACTTCCATAAAACTGGCGAAGTAAGCTGTTTAGCTCAGGCTTGGACACTGTTCCGAAATCCACCATTTTCTCCTGGGTTTTTAAGAACGCTTTGAGACATTTGACAGCCCAGGTAGTTTACGCCAATGTACTCTTTTCGTTGCGACTTTTTTCCAACGCACTCAGCTCGTCAGTTGAAACAGCCGCAAATCTTTCGTTGGTTTTGTGGTCTGTGTCCATGTCCAACCATTCATCCATACTGAGGCCCCCCAACAAATCAAAATTAACTATAAAATCTGACATTTTGTAGCTAACGATTTTCCAACGAGAGACAATGTAACAATGTAACGGCTGTGTGTCGCTATGGAAACCACTACTTCTCCACTGCTTTCTTGTTCCAGTTTGCAGTTAGCTTTTGAATTGTGGTACTTTTCCAGTTGGTCTACCTGCTCTTCACGTAGCTCTGCATGTTGTCGTTTAGGTGCTTTTTTTTCTAGGCACTCCTCAATCCAGTCCTCCACAGTAAGACCCCCCCGGAGGTTGAAGTTAATCTTAAATGTTTCCATATTATGTTTGGAAGTTTGTTTCGTAACGTAAAAAGGAGGGTTTCTGCCCCGTTACTTCTCCGCTGCTTTCTTGTTCCAGTTCGAAAAGCAAACTGCAAGCAGTTTGCTTTTCAGGCCAAGGGTATACCGTTTTTCTCAGACGCGGAGGGATACTGACTTGTTGTGAAAAGGCACGTTCTATTTGACCGTTCTTTGATCGTGGAATCAAACACGCCTATTGACCAATCAGAGAGCTTGCTCACACCTATGTGTTATAGAATCAAAAATAAGGAACAGGGAGAGGCTTGCAGAACTCTGGGAGGTGAGACTCAGGGTGAGGGTCTCATTGCAGGTCTTCAGGCTCCATTGAATCCCCCTGGGGTTCTTGTGCTGAAAGAAGGAGACAGGAGAAAGGGTTAGATACATCTAGCAACCTATAGGATGGGAAATTGCTGACCTATTTTAAACTTACCTTGTGTGTTCACTCTCACTTAAGTCCCTCTCCCTTTGCCATCAATCCAAAATCAGCTGAGCTGCAACATAATACAGACAGGTAATAATCAACAGAATCACAAAGACATAATATGACTCTGCTAAAAACACTCACCCATAAGTTATGTTTCTGTTTACTGTTTAGAAGTCTCAAATATCCACTCTAAATCCATATCAATAGCGATGTATCACAAAAATAGCTCTCTTCCTTATTATTGTGTAACGTTAACTATATTATACTAGCTTGAACTCCAAAATGGATATCCTCATTTCACCACCTCCACCCACTACAATCACACGCCCCAATGTTATATTTCACTAATATGTAACTCCCTCCACCCCGGATAAAAGCACGTTAAGAAGCCCCTTTTCTCTAATTCCACAACGTTGGAGGAAATAACATCAGGAGAACGGATTAATAGGCTGTTCATGGTTAACGTGTGTTGCTAACTTTATCCGGCATCCTAGCCTAATCTGTTATCTGTAAACGTTAAATATACTGATTGAAGGGATAATCCACTAACATCCTTTAATACACATGTGTAGTTAATTTGATTCAGATGTTCTGATAATATCCGCAATATAAATCTTTAAACGTCTTCTTACCTTCAAAAGTCCATCACAAACGGTCTATTATGCTTCAACCATAGACTGCTAGCCGCAGATCCTCTCAATAGTTCTCCGGAAGTTAGCGGCAAGCTATCATACTGAATAAATATTGACTGTGAATGTATGTAAAAATGTATGGCATATAGCTGTCTAACAGAAGTTAAATACATTTCTCACTTATTCTGACAATGTACTTAACCCCAAATAAAAGAACCCAATAAAAAGAGTTGTTAAATAATAGTGAAGTCACGTTGTAATAACAATAACTCATCTCTCTCTCGTTTTATTTTTGAGCTTTGCTAAAAGCCACTGTGTCAAGTGTCCATCTTGAGTTGCCGTCCGGAGTTGTCCAATATGGCGGACCATCTCGCACATGCGCAGTACCGATCGGGCAGGGGGACGGATCGGGTAGTGACCATGGATGTATAATAAGAACAGGGTTGCATTCCAATAGTCCATTTAGCTTAGGAACCTTCCTAACCAAGTGAAATGACCCGGAAGTACGTCACTGGCAGCCATGATAAGTGCCGTTCCAATTCTCCAAATGAAAGGAAAGGAGGTTTCAAACTTCCTTTATTATAACCTCCTTTAGCTTAGGAACCACTGGACCTCCCTAACCGAAAGGAGAGGAGAAAATGCTGCCCCACAATGCATTGCAGCCGCAGCATTTGCCGTCACACAACAGTCAGCCGTTCACGGAAACAACCGATCATGACTGAAAAACGAAGATCATGTAAGTTACCGCTGCTCTCTTAAGCTTTTACATTCTTAAGCCATAACTTGGCAACATGCTTATATGAAACGACTACTGTGTAATTATCCAGGTAAAGTTAACATCGTACTAAAACCTTTATGCTCAGTTTGCATTAGGCGATTTAATTCTTAGTTTCCAGCGTTGTACCATGCAAGCCTAATATGATGTATTTATTTCAGTCACAGATGCTGAAACCCTTGCCCTGATTAGCGCAAGGGTTAAAATGGAGCACATGTTCAGTGCCAAAAGAAATGCTGCCAAATCAGCCTGGGAGTAAGTACCTATATTTGTCTGATCAAATGTTTTACTAAATGTGCATGGTGAATTGAGATAATTAAACTAAAGGCAGGTTGTTAAAGAGATGGGTCTGGAGGGCCAAGTGACTGGTCCACAGGCGTCAAAGAAATGGGACAACTTAAAAACAAAATACAAGGTAAAGCAAATCACATGGCTGGGCACTGTGGTGGGTTATTGTTTGTAGATATTATGTTACAGACTTAAACTGGCAACCCCAGCCTCCTATATTAAAATGTGAATTTGCTTAGTTGCTTACACTTTTTAACTTTTAAGGCGTAAGCAATTACACATTTATCATTAGTACACATTTTTGTATGCTCTGCATTTAAATACTAACAAAGCTCTTATATACTAACAAAGGACTGGCTTGTCTAAAGCCAGTTGAGTAGCACTTGAAGTGTTTTAGCTCTATGAAACCTGATGTACTTATATGATTCTGTTTTCTTCAAGCTTGTATCTTCTTACTTATTGTAAGTCGCTTTGGATAAAAGAGTCAGCTAAATGCAATGTAATGTAATGTAATTTTGCCCTCACTGCCCTTTAACTAACAGTCTGTTATCTGTGTTGTCAATAGGAGTTAAAGAATCCCCCAACTGGGACAGGAACAGACAGGGGAGAGGCCTCAGCAGCTACCTGGCCATGGTTTGAGGCTATGCATGAGGCAATTGGGGGAAGGCCATCAATTCAGCCTCCCAGCCTAATTGCCTCATGCCCGATGTCAAGCCATGGCCAGACTGCTGCTGAGGCCTCCACCTCTGCTGAGGCCTCCAACTCTGCTGCTGAGGCCTCCACCTCTGCTGCTGAGGCCTCCAACTCTGCTGCTGAGGCCTCCAACTCTGCTGCTGAGGCCTCCACCTCTGCTGGAGAAGGGCCTTCGCAAGTGTCCCTCAGCAGTGAGGAGGAGCCCATGCCCTCCACCAGCTCCCAACCACCGACCAAAAGGCCAAGGCGAAGAAACAGCGTTTTGGCCTTCCTAAAAAAGCAGGCAGCGAAGGACGAGGCCCGTGATGCTGCTCTCTATGAGCAAAATGAGCGACTTGTTGCTTTAATAGCAGAGCTTGTGAAAGATAAAAATAAATAAATGTTGTTGTTGTAAAACACTAAAGTGGAGTTCTTCAGTTGATGATTTGGATAACACTCAGAGACAGTGCTTCAATAAACAAGCAATTTACATAAAAGGGAAAATAGGCCAAAAGCACCACATGTCATAGCAGCTTTTTCAAATAAAATACAACAGTTACTTTCAACAATATTTGTGCTATAAATGCAAATGAGTGTTGTGCAATGACAAACACTGAATGCAAAATAACAGACCCACTCCAGTGAAATGTATCAGCCAAATGTTTATTTAACAACCAAAAACTTGCCTCAGGGGGCTTTCTAATGTGTACAGTGTACGACACCCTCTGTCCTTAGATCCTTGCAGCCAATGAGGAACAACTCCCCAAAAAAAACCTTTTAACAGGGGGAAAAATGGAAGAAACCTCAGGGAGAGCAACAGAGCAGGGATCCCTCTCCCAGGACGGACAGACGTGCAATAGATGTCGTATGTACAAATAAACATGACAAAAATACAACATAACGGGGTGAACATCAACGAAAAAGATGGAGCTTAGTTGCTTCCAACTGGAAAATGCTGCTGCAGCAGGAGTAGCAACAATCCAAGCAACCTGCACCGCAAGAGACACAATAACGTGCATTAGTAACATGTATTCATGGGGAATGATTGCATATTAAAAAAAATGAATGATTTAAGAAAGCCATTAATATACTTACTATATAAGGAAATAGTCATGGTCATTTAGGTGTGGAGGACACTGATGTGGGGCTGACACGTGTGCTGCCAGTCCGTCCCTATAGTGCTGACTAGCATGTTCATCCCTCTGCACAGGTCCCTGTGGAGGTAGCGGCACTGGATCCTCTCCCTCAGTTGGCTCCAGGATGTCTCCAGCAGTGAGGCAGATGTTGTGGAGCACTGCACACACTGCTATCACCGTGGGGGAAAAGCTGTGATCCACTTCCAGGGCCTTGAAGAAGATCCCTCTCCACCGTGCCTTCATCATCCCAAAAGCCCTCTCTATAACCGATCGGGCTCTGGCATGGTGTCGGTTGAAGCGCGCCTCCACTCTACCCCTCAACGGTTCCCGGTACGGTGTGATGAGGTTAAGAGGTTCCCTCAGGCACGGGTAACCTCCATCCCCCACAATGTAATGGCCAGCTGGTGGGTAACAGCCCCTCACAAACACTGGACTGTTCCTGAGCACCCTGGTGTCGTGGACCGAACCAGGGAAGCCAACAAAAATGTCCAGGAATTTGCCAAAGCTGTCACAGATTCCCTGAAGCTGGACAGAGAAGAACAGCTTCCTGTTCAGGTAATCCTGGGCATGGGGGCTATTGGAAGCCTTGATGCGGATGTGGCATCCATGTATAGCTCCCACACAGTGTCTGAAGGCTGGGCTGTTGGCAAGGTGACGAAAGCCATTGCCAACTTCAGCACAATGTGCCTGTGTGGGGAAATGGATGACCTTCTCCAACAGACACAATATTGCCTCACACATCCTGTGGACAATATTGAAAACTGTGGTCTTGGGCACATCAAAGACCCTGGAGACAACAGAATAAGACAACCCATGTGCCAGCCAGTAGACCACCAGAAGGACCTCCACATGCTGAACCCAGCCATGGGTCTTCTCCCTCCTGAGAAGGGTCATCAGGGCCTCGATGGATTCCCTCGACAGGCGGTAATCAAATCGAAGATCTTTGGACTGATCCATATAGATCTCTACCACAGGGACATGGTGGTTGAGGTTGGTGTAGGTGTTGATCCTCTCCTGTAGGAGGAGGAGAGGTGTAATAGTAAAAGGTTGAAATACATCAATATTGTGGCTTTCCTTTTCTTTTCTTTTTTAAATAATGATGCATATTTGTTGTGTAAGGCAAGCACATGGGAGGAGATAGCCTTCAAGTTTGCTATAAATAACCAATACTGGAAATATGTTTGTTGGCTAAACCATAAGACAATTTTCTGTCAGAAAGCCCTCAAAGCTAACTTCACCCAGGTACACAGAAACACATGAAATATACAGGAACAGTTTCAGCTATACTCTTGATAGTATGTGCAATGTAAGCATGCTCTGTAATCTATCATTAAAACCAGTATCATAATCCACTTACCCTTTGTAAACACACTGCCAGCCTCTGCAGTCGTGCTCTCCTCCTCTGAATATTTTCTCTGTTGTTTTGCAACACAGCAGCCACAAGCTCCATTTCTGCCATTTTGCTCTGAAACAGTGATACTGCCCACCTGCTCTTATATAGGACACTAATAGGGTAATTGAGCAACATACTATTCAGCTGGGTGATTCTTGGTTATTCATTGAGTGCAACAGTGTTGGGCCTGTGGTCATTTGATAGTAATATCTTTGGGCAAACAACTATTTTGTCCCATAACACATCAATAAGCCAATACAGCTACAAATGTAATTGAGACTTTTGGCCATATTTTAATTCAACATGTTATAAACTTAAGAATGGTGATATGTACAGCAATACATGTGTAGGTCTAACACGGTTGCCATCAATTGTGTTGTATGTTGCCAGGAGGGTGAGATGAGTGTGAGCAACAATTATCAATGTGACAACGATTTTCTTTCACTTTACTTATTTGTTTTAATTTCAACCTTAATGAACAACATACTGTTCGCTGTTGCACACGTTCATAAAGCATAAAACAACACAATAACAGCGCTTATTAATGATGCGCTTATAGTAGTCCACTTTCGGAAAGTTGTAGTTCAGCAGACGCACATTTATGAAGTCCGCTGGCGCATCATAAACACGTCGGATAGTGAAAGTGCATTCGGATTCTCTAAAGTACTGCAGTCTCTTCTCCTAAGTCCTTTTGAATTCTCCTATCCACTATCCCTTAACCCCATGACGTTTCACTCAGAGGTCAAGGAATAGGAGATCGGGTTAGAATTTAGGAGCTGATTTTTTTGATTATCGGAACCTCATTCATTCCTATGAGAGTTGCTCATTAGCGCATGATGATAAAATGGCCCAACTTTTGAGAGAGCGAAACGTCACAGATTACCCGGCATGCCTGAGAAGTACCCGTATGTGTGCTCATAGCGCATGCGCAACTTTAACCAAAATGCTCGTTCACGTCAATTTGCGTACACGTAACAGCACCGCACGTTCATGACAGCATGGTAATGATTTGTTATTATGATGGATTGATATTAACGAGGTGGCAGTTAGCAGCTAGCGGCTAGCTAGTCATTATGCTAATGTACATGTAACCCAAATGTCCCGTAGCTTCTCTGAACACCATGGGACTCTGCGTTGTGTTTGTTATTGGTGATGGGATGTTATGCAGAGGGGTGGAAAACAGGACACAGCAGATCGGATTGCGGTGGAGACGCTGAGTAGCGATTTATTCTTCACAATGGCAGCTCTTCTGACACACCTTTTGCGGAGTGAATATAAACATTAGCGCATTAGCTACATGCTAACCAATACAATAACCAAATGAACAGACAAAACATAAACATCTCACTCCCAAACATACACAAACGGGTAAATAAACATTTAAACTAACCCATTAATTAAATGGAATGTTTGGACGTTTTTAACATAATAATGTGTACAATATTTGCCGCCATTAACACTGCTCACCTTTTGCGGAGTGAATATAAACATTAGCGCCAAGATGGCGGCCGCACCCAGAACAAAAAGAGAAATACGGTGTCCCACAATGGACAAAAAACAACAATTTGCTGCGCAACAACAACACCTAGTGGCCTGTCAAGGCTGTTACCTTACATCTACCCCTTCTTTAATTCATGGCGTCCCAGCCATCAGGCCAAACTAAATACAACAAAGGCCATGTAGCACAAACAATTTAAACAGTTAAAGAGAAACAAATAACCTTTCTGTATGTATGATTGTCTTATAAAATGTGTGCGTGTTATACATTTTAACAGTCAGAATGTTGTGGCTTGATTGTGTCACCCCTGTCCTGCTTCTCTACTTGCTTTGGCCCTTTGCCACAACTTCCATCCCCTTTCTCTCCTCCTCTGGTCCTCTTCCGAACTCAGGACTTGTGACTCACATGACTGTCTCTTCGGGGCACACCGATTTCTTGGTGGATTTCTCCTAGGAGCCTTGTCAAGTGATTTGGTGTCACTCACAGTCGTACTTTCCTCATCTCCTTCATCCACTTCCTCCATTTGTTTGGGCTCATCGTGTACCACTGGTGTCCCAGGTCCCACATTCTCCTCAACTTCCTCTGTATGATCGATCTCACAGTCCTCTGCTGCATCCGATTCAACCTCTTCTCCCATCACTTCACTGACTCGTTCCACTGGAAGGAACATACACTGTGTGAGGAGGTTGCGGTGCACCACCCTCTCTCTCTCTCGCTGTCCTCCAATCGTATCACATATACAGGTGTGTTGAGTTGTTTCTTCACCACAATGTATGGACGTACCTCCCATCTGTCTCCCAGTTTCTGCCTTCCCTCCACATGACATACTTTGACAAGGACTCTATCCCCCGGTATGAAGACTTGACCCTTTGCTTTTCTGTCATAGTGCTTTTTCTGTTGAGCCTTAGCATGCCGAGAGGTTTGATTAGCCTGTGCATATGCCTGTGACAGACTGTCGTACAGAATTTGGACATAATCACTGTATCCACGTGGCTCACTTGCGGTGGAAAGCCCAAAAATCAGGTCCACTGGGAGCCTAGGATGTCTCCCAAACATCAGGTAGTATGGTGTGTAACCCGTTGAATCATGCTGTGTGCAGTTATAGGCATGTGTCATTGCGTCAAGATGCTCATGCCAGCGGGGTTTCAAGTGTGGCTCCAAGGTCCCCAGCATGTTCATGAGGGTCCGGTTGAACCTTTTGGTGGTCCCGTTGCCTTGTGGGTGGTAAGGGGTCGTATGAGTCTTTGTGATGCCAGTGCACTTACACAGCTCCTTCACAACTGTACTTTCAAAGTTGCGCCCTTGGTCCGCATGCAGCTTCCCAGGGAACCCGAACCGGCAGAAGACATTTTTCCACAGTGTTTTAGCCACTGTAGAGGCCTTTTGGTCTTTTGTCGGGTAGGCCTGGGCGTAGCGGGAAAAGTGGTCTGTAACCACAAGCACATTTTCTATGCCACCTTTGGACTTCTCCAGAGTCAGAAAGTCCACACACACCAGCTCCATTGGGGCACTGCTGTGGATACTGACCAGGGGAGCCCTGGAGCCTGCAGTAGGGGTCTTCCGGAGACAGCACCTTTCACACTGCTCACACCAAGCCTTGATTTCTTGAAACATTCTTGGCCAGTAGAATCTCTCCCTTATCATTTGCAACGTCCTCTCGAATCCTAAATGCCCTGAATCATCATGGAGAGCAGTCTTTACTGCTGTATGCAGTTTCTCTGGCAATACTAGCTGCTCCACTACTCCCCTTTGGCCGTCCTGGATGTGGCGGTACATGATACCATCCCTCACCATTAACCTCCTCCACTCTTTTAAAAGAAGGCACACCTGCCCACCACCACTGACCCTCTCGCTGCGGCTTGGTTTCCGGTTCAATCTTTTGTAGTGCAAGACGGGGCCAATGACAGAGTCCTCCTTCTGCCCCACACGGATCTCCTGTTTTGTCATGGCAGGCAGGGATTCCGTCCCCACCTCCCTGTAGGGCTCACTTGACATGCCCGGCCCAAGGTCTTGTGAGTCAGGGTTCTCTGCGGCAGTGTTCTCATCAGGGGGCCCTCCTGGTTCTAGTGTGGGCTGTGTCTCCCCATGCACTCTCACATTGATCCCCACCCGCTGAGGACAGGTTTGTAGGACCTGTGTGACCTCCTGGTTTGACATACGGGAGAGGGCATCTGTATTTGCGTTACATTGTCCCCTCCGATACTGGATGTCAAAGTGGAATGTAGACAGCCGAGACACCCATCGCTGACCGGTAGCATCCAGCTTTGCAGAGGACATCACATATTTGAGGGGGTTGTTATCCGTCTGGACAGAGAATGGACGCCCATAGAGATGGTCATAAAACTTGTCTGTCACTGCCCACTTCAGAGCAAGGAACTCCAGTTTGTGTGCAGGATACCTCGACTCGGCCGGGCTCAAGCATCTGCTCGCATAGGCTATGACTCTCTCAGCTCCATCCTGGACTTGAACCAAGACAGCACCAAGCCCCTGTCCCGACGCATCGGTCTGAAGCACAAAAGGTAGGCTGTAATCCGGGTAACCCAGTATTGGAGCAGTCGTCAACTTTTGCTTCAGGGACTGAAAGGCTTCTTCACACTCTGTAGTCCACAAAAAGGGCAGCTCAGGACCCAAACTTGTCTTCCTTCCTCTTATTTTCTTCCTGGGGTCACCAGTTGTCAGGCGGTATAAAGGAGTAGCGATGCTCGAGTAGCCACCAACGTACCGCCTGTAATATCCAGCAAACCCTAAGAACTGCAACACTTCCTTCCTGTTTGTGGGCCTCACCCAGTCCCTGACTTTGCTGATCTTCTCTGGGTCTGTCCTGATCCCCTCCGCCGATACCAAGTGACCCAAGTACTGCACTTCCTTTCTCACAAGCTGGCACTTGGAAGGCTTTAACTTCAAGCCATGTTCATGAAGCCGATCAAACACCAGCTGCAACCTCTCCAGATGGTCATCAAAGGTTTTAGAGAAGATGATGAGGTCGTCAAGGTAGATCAAGAGGTGAGTGAAGTTCAGATCCCCAAAACAGCAGGTCATGAGCCTCTGGAAGGTGGACGGAGCATTCTGCAGTCCGAAGGGCATCCTGTTGGCCTCAAACAGCCCCATGGGTGTGCTGAATGCTGTCTTGTGCTTGTCTTGTTCCGCTACCTCCACCTGCCAGTAACCAGATGTGAGGTCAAGTGTGGAAAAGTACTTTGCTTGCCCCAGAGCCTCCAGGGCCTCTTCTATTCTGGGCAGGGGAAATGCGTCTCTCGTGCTGTAGGAGTTTAGCTTTCTGTAGTCAATGCACAACCTTAATGACCCGTCTTTCTTAGTCACGATCACCACTGGGGACGCATATGGACTCTTACTAGGCCTGATGACTCCTGTTGCCTCCATCTCTATCAACAACTTCCGCACATCTTGCCACTGTGAAGGCGGAATCTTGCGATACAGGAGCCGGAAGGGCTTGGAATCAACCAGGGGAATGTCATGCTGCATTGTTTTTGTGTGGCCGTAGTCCATGGGATGCTTGGAGAAAACACCTA